GCGGCGCTGTGACTGACACTCTGGGCCAGGCCCGGCTAGAGAGGGCGGGGACACCGGGCAGTGAGCGGAGACCGGGACACTCAGGCTAGTCCCGGGCTTCTCCTCTTCTTGCCGCAGCGCCGTCCAGGCCGCGGTAGAGTCGGGCGAGGCCTGGGATTCGGGAGAGGCCTGCGCGGTGCGGCCTGCTGAAGAGACATATCCCCGGAGTACGAGGACTGGGCCGGCCCGCGGCCTTCAGGAGAGCCCGGGGATCGGGCCTGCACGGGGGGGGCGACCCGGATGACGGCAACCCGGCGGCGGGGGACGGGCTACACTATGCAAGAAAAACCGGCGGCGGGTGAAGGTCTACACTCTGAATGAGGACCGCCAATGGGATGACCGGGGGACCGGCCATGTCTCCTCCGGCTATGTGGACCGGTTGAAGGGCATGTCGCTGCTGGTGAGGGCCGAGAGCGACGGTGAGTGACCGCACAGCGGGGGACGTAGCGGGCCCAGTCATATGTGTGTGTCTGCGCTGATCTATGACAGGACCGTACAGGGATCATTGTCGGTGATTGCACCGGGGAATATAACGTGTCACGACACAAGTCCGCACATTGGTGATTGCACAAGGCGGTGTGAGGGATTGGTGATCCTCCAGAATGATTGACAGCCACCTTTGACCTGCTCCAAGCTGGTTGTTGCATCACCATAGACTTCAATGGGAATGCAAAACTTGCATAAAGTGAACAGAATCCCATTGACAGGCACATGACGCATGTAATGCATGGGGGCTCAAAGCACAAAGCCGACACGCCAGGGAAAGATCATTCACAAAAGTTATTTATTGTCATCCAATCGTATTGGAAGGTTACAGTCACATGATCAAAAAAAAGTTTCTTAACCACCTTTTATAGCTTGCTGGGTTGTAACAATAATCCATGATATCATAAGTGTAATATATGTGGCTCTACTGTGCAGGCGCGTGATGTAAACAAACAAATGGCTTTTAGGCCATATTCACACAGCTTAGAGTCGGCCCGTACAGATCTGTGCGGCGTGCGTGGCGGTATCGGGCCGTTCCAGGAAAGGACAGGTGCTGCGTGTGATTGTACGCAGCAGCCTGTCCTTCCCTATGGGTGGACGGGGGCCGTACACTCACCCGAGCTGCACACCTGTGCGGGTGTCCGTACTCAGATGCAGACAGGATGGGTCCTGTGTGCGTTCAATCACGGACAGCCGCGCGGATGTGCAGCTCGGGTGCACGCCGCACGGATCTGTACGGGCCGACTAAGCAGTGTGAATGAGGCCTTATTCTTTAAAAAGAAGCCACAGCCTGAATAGTGAAGCCCGTCCCGCCAGCATGCTGCAGAGATGGATCATTACTCTCTGTGTGGAAGCAGTGGTCCCTCTGCAGAGATCTTACGTGGGCCACTTCTGAGTCACACCTATAGCTCTTCATCCAGCAAAGCTCATTCACTCAAATGATTAGAGAGCCCTAGGACTCAGCGGGGGGGGGGGGGAGACCTCTGCAGAGAGGC